GTTTATACTGCAGCCACCAACTTTGTAATTCTCATTTACATGACTATACATGTATACTATACGATTTACATGACATGGCGCTCCATCTGTTTGTCCCAGGGCAGTTTCATGTCAGTTACACTTTGACATACGTTTTTAAAAATGTCTTTTCCTGTCGTTGTCCCTTGCATCGATTTAATGTTCAATATTTCCTCTCCACTGATGAAGATGGCCAGCTGTGCAATGTCCATCATGTCTATACTTTCATACACAGTATGCAATAACGTGTTTGCTTCTTTCACAAAACTGTGTTCCTAAATCAGTGGCCATCTCACAAACCCGATCAGCAATCATATTTCTCCTCAGGCTCACATTTGCCAAAATCTGCGTTTTGTCTGGATAGCATCGCACAGCTTCATCAGAGTGGTACCGGGCTGATTTGACTGTCTCCTCTGCTACAATAAAATTTGCTTTCACAACAGCTTCACCATGTGATTTACTAGTTTACTACCAATGTAAACTGCTGGTTTACCAGCAATGTCTGTAAACATACATTCAGTCTCCCACTGGTGCTGAAAGGCTCCATTTTCAGAAATAACTTTTTTCTTTGCCATTGTGAGGGACTAGCTTCGCAATAGCAGAAGTTTGACTTGATTGACGCGGGAATGTTGCCAGGTAGCCTAACGTCTGGGAAAGAGGCCGCAGCGCTGCGTTACAGGATCTGTTGTTTGTGTGTTAATAGCACCTCATATCGTCGGGCCATGCATAACAGTAATTTAAAAAAATCTATATGAAATGATCTCGCGGGCCTGATATGAACGCTGGGCCAGTTTGAGTGTGTGCAGTGAGAATTCAGTCAAAGTATTTAACTGGAGTGTGAAAAAATAAGCTGAACTCTACAGCTTGTGTGGTCTCCTGTGGCTTTAGGTGCTGAAAAGCCTTCCAGCTGTTCTCCAGCATTTTCATTTACAGCCGTAAAATATCTCCACATGTTGCTCCTGTTTCTCTCTCTTTGCAGTCCAAATGGGTTTTCTGTGTGTAGCCGAGTCACGTGACGGCACAGTATCAAATCCCAGCAGGGCAGAAGAAGGGGGCGGAGCAAAGTGAGTCTCCCGCATAAGAAGAGGTGTTCGCACAGACAGCTGCTTCTTCATCCGCAGCGAGTAAAATAGTGAACTCGGAGGAGCATCGATCGTAAACCACTACCACCGTTTGGATCGATATCTGCATCGATCTGCCCACCCTTGTCTCCTGGATCGTAGCTGAGATCAGCGTGAACCACGTGGGTCTCTGCTCCCTGATCTGTTTCCTGTGTTTGGAAAGAGTTCCAGCTTCATCGCGGAGTTTCTCTCGGTTTGTGGGCTCATCTAAAGGTAAGCACCGAGCTAACCTCAACACTAGATTTACTAACCCTTCTCAAAATCCCTTGAACCCAACACCTACTAAAATCACTGCGTTTATTTTCTGGTGCAAGTCCCGAGGTGTTAATCACCCCTGCTGAGATTTTTACAAGTCATATGCTCGATTCTCCTGCTTTTGTTGCGCAAACCACCCATTGTCTTTGAGGCCTGGCACATTTGCTTTCAACGTGCGGTGGAGATGAAGCCAGCCGCGGAGGTGTGCGGGTGGATAGCGAATGAGCAACAGTTTCTGACTTTCCAAAAGTACTCATTTATTTAGAATATGAAAAATAAAAGTGCTACCTCTACCACACATTAGTCGAGAGCACACTAGTACGCAAACTGTAAGCTGTACATCTCCGTGTCTCCTGATGACACCAGACCAAAGGATGCCCTTTTTAACTGTATTTTAGATATAAGATCTTGGATGGCAGAAAACTTTTTACAGCTTAACCAGGACAAAACTGAAGTTTTAATCGTCGGTCCCGAGGCTCAGAGAGAGAAACTCTTGTCTAAATTAGAGGCATTTTCACTATGTCCTTCACTACAAGTGAAAAACCTGGGTGTTATTTTTGACTCTGAGCTTGGTTTTATCCCACATATTAAACATGTAACCAAAATTGGATTTTATCATCTAAAAAATATAGCCAGAGTCCGCCCTATTCTCTCTCGGGCCAACACGGAGATGCTGACGCATGCTTTTATTACCAGTCGCATTGATTACTGTAATGCCCTGCTCTCTGGTCTCCCCAAAAAGAATATTTCAACTTTACAACTTTTGCAAAACTCTGCAGCTCGTGTGCTGACGAAGACCAGAGGGCGGGCCCACATTACACCGGTTTTAGAATCGCTGCACTGGCTCCCCGTGTGTTTCAGGATCGATTTTAAAGTTCTTTTACTGGTTTTTAAATGTCTTAATGGTCTTGGGCCTTCTTATCTCTCAGATCTGCTTTTACCATATGAGCCCTCGCGGACCCTGAGGTCCTCTGGTACTGGCCTTTTGATTGTTCCTAAAGTCAGGACACATACTCACGGAGAGGCAGCTTTTCAGTGGTATGGTCCTCGTCTGTGGAACAGCCTGCCGGAGGAGCTCAGGGCCGCAGAGAACGTACATGTTTTTAAGAACAGGCTCAAGACCACCTTTTTAACCCTTTACAGCCGATCGGAGCGGGCACGCTCTGTTTTGCGTAACTATTTTTAAATCCCGGTAGCTCTGCAACCAAGTAAGCTAGCGCAATAATTTTTTTTGCATATGAAACTGGAGGAGTTGTACTTACATCTTATGCCATCAGCTTGTCCTAGGTCACAGTTTCCTTCCACATATAGCTTTGCAAAAACTGCATAAAAATCACTTGCAGCAACAAAAACATGATATTCCAGAAACACGCTTCGCCGATCCATCAGCTGTTTGTAACACTTCCTACGTCCATCAGCGCGAACTATCACATGACCGCATGACCTGCCCGAAACCGGAAGTGACGTCATTTTGCGGAAATGTAGTTTTTTACGATCGGGGCCTTATGAGCTTGTGTTTTACTTGTTATGTGTTTTAAAAAGTTATGTTTGACTTCATGACTTTCTGTGTCGTTTCTGGGATGCTTAAGACTCATATTGCACTGCTGGAAATAGTTTATTTTGATGCATATGCTGTTATTTTGCAAATTTGCACTATAATATTTATTTCCATTTTTCCTGCAGTATATAAAAATTGGTGTATTTCAAAAATAAAACTATGAAGACACTCAAAATAAATTTCCTGTGGTGGGAAACTAGTTTGTGTAACTTTTTTGTATTTACAGTTTTGAGGGATAAGCCTCTTAAATTTCTCTAACTAGAAATATATGTTAAAAAAACTAAAACGATTATTGCACTTTTTTGCAATTTATGTAATTACTATGCACCTAATGCAGACATATTATTAAAGTTTGGGCTATAATGGTTGTATTGATGTATAGCAACTTGAAATGCTCCCAAAAATGGCTCCACAGCATGTAAAAATATAATATAAGCTCTGGCGAACTTGGTTCTATGGTAGGTCTTAAAGGGTTAATTTAGCTTTTACCTAACGTTTATTCATTTTATGCTTATTTATTCTATCCTGTTATTCTATTATTAATTTAGGCTTTACCTAATATTTATTGATTTTATTCTTATTCATTTTTAATCTTCTTACTCTATATTTATATTTATATTGTATCCCGTTCTTATTTATTTTATCATTTTACCCTGTATATATCCTATTGTGTCATATCTCCAGTGTTTCCTCGGAGGGCGCTCTCTGCACTGCGGCTGTGATCAACCGTGGCTGCTGGGGCTCTGGGGGTCCTCTCAGCCTGGCTGGGGGGCTTCTTTGCCTCCCTCCTGCTGTGTGCCCAGCCTGGAGGCTGCGGTCTGTGACCGGCTCCCGGTGCAGACGGCTCCCTGTGATAGTGTTTCCTCACCGGGCTCATGTGTGCCCAGCCCAATTTTACTCTTTAAGTGTGCACGGGTGTGTGTGTGTGTGGGGGGGGGTATTCACATCATTTATGTTAATGAGAGTGTGGGGAGTGAGTTGGAGGGTGGGGTGGGCTGCTTTTAACTATGTAAAGCACTTTGTGCTACCTTTTTTTTTTTTTTTGTATGAAAAGTGCTTTATAAATAAAGACTGATTGATTGAAACACACGGGAGCATCCATTACAGGGAGAGTGCGAAGTTGTTCAGCCGCTGGTTTCCTCTTTCTGGCGCAAAGTGGGCCAAACATAAAGAAGAGAGACGGACTCGCGACAGAAAAGCTGATCATTAAGCAGTTTCATGATTGAAGTAGCAACAGCAGAGGGAGAGAGAGAGGCAGTCGCTCCATATATCGGTTATTAAGCTTAACGTGGGAATGCTTTACAAACCATCAAAGATGAACTTATACACTAGCTTTACGTCTCTCTCAAATCATTGTTAGAAGTCCAGTCAAACAATGATTTATTGATTACACGTACGCGGGAAAGATCTGCAGTGCCACTCACTTACAGAGATCTCAACAAGGAAGCAGACATCACACTATTTTTGTATATTAAGGTCCAGCCTCACAATACGTTAGCAGATATCGTAATATACACCAGTTACAGTTAGACACATTTCCTTTTTTTAACTCTCTTGACTTCTATAACAATTAAAAACCCTCTTCACCGTCTCACACTCTGTGTGTTTCCTGCCGTTATTTTCTCCTCATACATGTCTCTGAAACATCCTGTGCTCATCTCACTGAACAGGTGTACGGGCACTTTGCAGGCCAAATGTCTCTAATCGTTGCCCTAGAAACAAGTTGAATATTTATCTTTGTCTGGAAGCGTGTTTGACCCTCAAAAGACTCAATGCCATCTCTCATGAGCACATTTGCAATGTGTGTATGAAAATGAGTATAACTACTTATTTAACACAAGCTTTGCACAAAGTACCACTAATAAAAGCCCAGTTAGAAGAATGTGTTTCCCACAACTCACTGCCTCTGTTTGTATCTCTGTCACTGCAGGACCAACGTGGAGCGAGAAGTCAGCGCTCTCAGGAGGCCGACAAACCTCACAGAAGAAAGAGAGAGGAGACATACACCTGAGACGAGTGTGGGAAAGATTTTACCGTAAAAGCTTCCCTAAAAATGCATCAGGTAATCCACACTGGAGAGAGACCATTCAGCTGTGACGAGTGTGGGAAGGATTTTACCGTAAAAGCTTCCCTAAAAAGGCATCAGCTAATCCACACTGGAGAGAGACCATTCAGCTGTGACGAGTGTGGAAAGTCTTTTATGCAGGCTTCACACTTAAAACGACACCAACTCATCCACAGTGGAGAGAGACCGTTCAGCTGTGGAGACTGTGGAAAGTCTTTTACCGAGTCTGGACACTTAAAAACACACAAACTCATCCACACTGGAGAGAGACCATTCAGCTGTGACGAGTGTGGAAAGTCTTTTATGCGGGCTTCACACTTAAAACGACACCAACTCATCCACAGTGGAGAGAGACCGTTCAGCTGTGGAGACTGTGAAAAGTCTTTTACAGAGTCTGGACACTTAAAAACACACAAACTCATCCACACTGGAGAGAGACCATTCAGCTGTGATGAGTGTGGAAAGTCTTTTATGCAGGTTTCACACTTAAAACGACACCAACTCATCCACACTGGAGAGAGACCGTTCAAGTGTGATATTTGTGGAAGGTCTTTCTCCTCAGCTTCATACTTAAAAAAACACCAGGTCATCCACAGTGGAGTTAAAGCGTACAGCTGTGATGATTGTGGGAAAGGTTTTACTCTCAGTAGCAGCTTACAGAGTCATCTAGTTACCCACTCTGGAATTAAGGCATACAGCTGTGACATTTGTGGAAAAACTTTCAGCCTGAAACAGAACCGAAATAAACACCTACGCATTCACACCAGACATGATGTGTACAGCTGTGGTCAGTGTGCCAAACACTTTGCTATAAACACACAGTTACAACAACACATGTTTACCCACTCTGAGGAACAACCTTATAAATGTGACTTGTGTGCGAAGACTTTTAAATCTCCACGTTACCTGAAAGCACACCAAAAGATCCACACCAGAAAGACTCTACAAGTGCAGTTACTGTGAGGTATGCTTATATATGTTTATATTGTTATCTTGTCAGCCTGACTGTTTGAAACAACTCTGCCTATCAAGTTGTGTTAGCATGTTAGCAATTTTACTGCATGGAAAAACACCTCTGAGTGATTATTCAGACTCTAATCACAGGTTTTTAGTGATCGTGTTTGAGGATTGTATTACTGTTATTGTTAGGGATGGGTATCGTTTAGGTTTTATCCGATACCGGTGCCAAATCGGTACTTTTGAAACGGTGCCGGTGCTTAAACGGTGCTCAAACTGGTGCTTAAAGAATGGAGAACACAAAATTGGTCCAAAAACCTCTCATGTTCAGCTGGTTTTTTTTGTAAAAAGATAACAATGTTAGCCTTTTATGCAGCTATGGGGCATATATGGTATCACTCTTGGCTGGAAGCAGTGCTTAAACAATGGAAAAAACACAAACTTTGTCCAAAAACCTCTCATGTTCAGCTGTTTCCCTCTTTTTCTTTGGTTATTTTAGCCTTTTTGTCCAGGGTGAAGGGAGTATCTGCCATCAAACAAGAAGACAGCCGCATGTAGCTATGATGATGTTTGCTAGTTCACCTTACATGCATTAATGTAATAACGTGGTTAGCCTACTCAACGTAAATTACACGAACAACATTAAGCTACTCACGCAGAGAAGAACGGCTGCTGCTGCCATCATCATCATTTCTGCTACACTGACAGGGCTAGGGGCCAGGACTCTCCTCTTTGTGTTTTTGGGTATGTTGCTAACTCCGGGTCTGATAAAAGGCACCACCGCAGTAGATGCGCTCGGTGTGAGGTCTCGCAGCAAGCTATCAAATACAGCGCATTTCTTGGTTTTTGAAAAAAAAAAACAACGCTATGCGTCGCCAGGTGTTTCATCGGATTCGAGGTGTTATCTCCTTTGACAGTATCACAGTATCAGCTTAAAGCACTTGTTGCAGGCTGCTGAGTTTGCATCTTTTGCTGTGAAGTACAGCCAGACTTTTGACCGCTTCGCCTTGGGCATTTTTAATCAGTAGCTCTGCATAAAAGAACGTACGTACCTGGCCCCGCCTACTATCCTCGGAAACGTAAAATGATTGGCTAGAAGTGTATCACAGCTCAGGAAAAAAAAGCACCGAAATAAAGCACCGAAATGTGCGCTGCTTTTCGGTCTGGTTACTACCGTTTATGTCAGAACCGGTGCCATCATGGCACCGGACACCGGTACCCATCCCTAGTTATTGTAGAATTAAACTAGTATTAATTTAATGTTTTTACTCTTATCGTTTTTATAGCACATTAAATTGAGCTGAGTGTGATAATGTAAACAGTAAAATGCAATTGGACTTGGCAGAGATGCTCATTATTTCAGGCAATGTTCAGGATGAAAATGTTGAAGGACTGACTTACACTGTGTTTGTGTCTTTGTTTAGAAGCAGAGCGACACAGATGGATCCAGTTCTCAACCCTGTCATCACTGTGGGAAAGAGTTTTTTGTGACCTTTGTGGAAAAACTTTCAGTCATCAAAAGACCCTAAAAATACATCAACGTAGACACACTGGAGACAAACTGAACTACTGTAAAGAATGTGGGAGAGGCTTCACCACTTCAACGGACTTCAAACAATATGAACTCCTTCACAGTGGAGTTAAAAAGCACGTCTACGATCAGTGTGGGTCATCCTTCATCAGTGCACATCAGCTTCAAAAGCGAGTCCACACATGAGAAAAACCATACAAGTGCAGACACTGTGACAAAACCCTTTCACAATCATGTGATCACACTAAGCATGAACGCAGACGCATGAAAGAACTTCATCTGTAAGAGAGTTTGAGTAATCTCAGTTCATACTCCACTCACAAGCGATTCCATGTTACGAATAACCTGTTACGTCTTTGTTAGAGATTTTCTACATTATACATTATAACCAAATCTCTATAAAACAATATAATCAAGTAAGCCTTATATTTTAACCAAGTATGCCTTATATTTTGTGTGTTCATATATTTTCACATAACCAAGCCTATTGTTGAAGAATCACCTAACCAAGTCTATTGTTAAAGGAAAACTGATGCATTCCTTACCTCAGTGACTGAGATGTTTGACAGCATGATATAATGATGCATTCTTTACTTCAGTGTCTGTGATGTCAGATAAAGCATGATATACTTCTGTATTCTTATCCCAGTGTGTGAAAGATCAGATAAGCTGATTTAATGTTTAACCTCTTCCCTGACAGTTAAAAGAGGAAGTACTATGTAACCCATTTTTGCCTTATAAACAGTGTTGGGACTAACGCGTTATTAAGTAACGCGTTACAGTAACTACGTTATTATTGTGGTAACGAGCACGGTAACTAGTTATTATGCCAAAATCAGGAACGCGTTACTCGTTACTGGGATTTAGATAGGGTCGTTACTCGTTACTTCGTGTGGTGGCTATCGCGGAGTTTCCACAGATTCAGTAACATTAGCAAGTGGTGGAAGCAGCAGGTGGATGAAGGAAAAGGGACGCAGAATGAAAAGAGACCCGAGGCGGCCGCCGGTCCAAGTGTGAACTGAACTTCAGGTAAGAAGTTATGACCTGCAGTCTCTCTGGGTCAGATATGAACCAAGTTTAGGTGGAGTTTATTTTCGTTATTCTGACTTTTTCCGTACTGCGTGCTAGCTAGCATGACGGAGTTTCTATACAGCTGGGTGGTGCTATGAAGTTAATGATGTTGAACTTTATTTTGTTCATAAGTTATTAGAGTTGCCAACCGTCCCGTCTGGTATTCAGAGAAAATATTACGCGTTTCTTATTGAGGTGAAAAGGAACAGTTTGTCCCGTAATTCAGCTACAATGAAAAAGACACAAACCTGGAGTTATTCTGTGTCTTTGCTGCACAGCTGCCTCTTCTCCTCTCATTCTCCCCCCTCCCTCTCCTGTTTCTACTTCAATCATGAAAACTGATCAGTGATCAGCTGATCGGCTCTCTTGTTTGTTTATCGCTCACTTTGCGCCGAAAGAGGAAACCAGCGGATGTCGCGCTAAACAACAGCAGCACGTTTAAGCTTGATCAGCTATTGTTAGAATTTATTTAATATTAATTTCTAGTATCAGCTGATGTTTGCTGGAGCCACAGCTGCAAAAAAGCTGCTGGTCATGATATCGGTTTGGTTATGTGGTGAGAGGGAAACATGAAGATGAAACCAGGAGATGTCCTTACTGGATCATCAGAGCTGAACAGGTGATGGAGAAACAGGTTTACCCTTTAGGTGACATGAATGAGTTGAAGGGAAGTTATGAACTGTTTCTGAGAGACAAATAACCCCAGGATCCTTTTTTAGGTAGCTGACAGCTGGTAACTGTGCAGGTGCAGATCTAGCAAAGTGTTGCCAGGGGTCCATGTAGGGCATTAACAGGGAGAGGTGGGCACAAAGAAATACTTTTCTTTCTTATTCTCATTTAAAATGTCTCGCTTTTAAAAAATAATTATCTGAATCTTACAACAAACGATTGATAGATTGATGCATATATACCATCAAAACAGTGTACATCACTGTCACAACAGTGTTTGTTTTCATTCAAAGGCTTTATGATTTTTCCTATAATGGTGGGCCGGTCTCTAGTTAAAATACCCGGGCCAATTTTCTGTCCCAGTCCAGCCCTGTATGCAGCTCATCTGCAGTCTGGTGTTGCCTACATCTTTCTATTCAGAAGGCAGAATTTCAGAGTTCTGAGTACAATCGAAAGCACCACGACTGCAGTTTTTGTGTTGGATGTAAAAGGCGCACATGACGCTGTGACGTAGGCTAGAATCATGGCAGCAGTCAATGACGGTCCAGGCGTGGGATTTCTCTTGTGGAAATATGCACATTATCTTTTCCTTTCTATTGGTAGGTGGCACAGTGCACTTGTGGCAAGTAAGCAAGCTAGAAGACTGGCAAAGTTATGGAAGCAACACATTAACAAGAGAATTCTGAGTAAAACCAAAGTTACTTTCCCTAGTAACTAGTTACTTTGAAAGTAACGAGTAACTTGAAGTAACTGAGTTACTTTTGAGAGAAGTAACTAGTAATGTAACTAAGTTACTATTTTAAAGTAACTTACTCAACACTGCTTATAAATAAAGCAAGCAAGCCTGTGCTCGGTGTGTTTTGTCTTCTCAGAGACATTCACCTGTGTGGGTGTCTTCTCAGAGACATTCACCCGTGCGCACGTTTTCTAATTACACTCTGAGTCGGTCTGCAGTTGTCTCATTTCTCTTACTTGTGTTTGAACAAATGTCTACCCCTGACAGTCTTGATTCCTGCTTTTAAGTAAATCTTGTAAACAGTACATTTGCATAACGACTGAAACCAGTCCAATGAATGAACAATGGGCTGTGAGGTCAATTTCTTGATCGTTAATAAGCAAATTCTTATGACCATTGGTCAATGGCCATGAGTACCATTCACAGAGTAAAAATTTGCATAATGATTATGAAGGAACTTGTTTTACTGTTACAATGTTCAAAAACATTTACTAAATTATCTCCTCTGTGCAAACATCAGCCTAATCATGCAGGACTGAAATCATTGCCATCTCTGGATCACAGTGAATCTGAAGAGACAGAAAGATCCTCTTCTGGTTTCAGGGTCAGACTTAAACCCTTGAGATCAGGCTCCAGAGTTCAGGTAGAGTCTCCTGATCTGATGAGGCAGCTATGAATGAAAATGTACCTCGTTACATTTTAAGCTTTCTAAACTGTTCTACTGTAGTGTTCATGTTGAGTGGTTAGCTTTGTTCCAGCAGTTGAATCAAAAATCTGTTTCCTGTTATCATGTTTTTAATGAATGCATCGATCCATGTTTTCTGCAGTTTTTTTTCAGCTTGTTCGTTATGAAATCCTGCAACAGTTAAACCAAAATTTTATATGTTAAATAAAGAAATGGTTTACTGACAAAGAGTTTGAGCCGTGATGTCATTTCCTGTATATCAGAGCAACACCTGAAGTTACCAATATTTAAAGTCATAGTCAAATTATGTGTCAGCATGACCTTGTGAAAACTGCTTGGCGCTGCTTCACTATGTTATCTGCTAACTGTTAGGGCGTAGAAGGACGAAACTCCCAGGAATGACCAGTGCCAGGACCTTCCTGATGCAGAGAGTTGTGTGTGTGTGTGTGTGGGGGGGGGGGGGGGGTATAAAGGAGAAGCTGAGGCATCCCAAAGTTAAAGCTGGCATAACTGAAACTTAATGTTTGATGTGTGTTGTGGTTCTCCTGCGCGCAGTAATTAATAGCTTGAACACAGCAGAGCTTGATATAAAAGCCTGGGTAACAACCAACTTTATGCCGCTGATTATACTTGGCCCTAAAATACCTAGAAATATGGTATCCAACCAGATACTTGCTCTGGATGGCATTACCTTGGCCTCCAGTAACACCTTGGAGTAATATTTGACCAGGACATTAAAGAAATATTTAGGGCTGTGTGATCGGCCGAGTTGGAAAAAGCAGGAGTCACAAGAATTATTAGAAAAACAGTTTTCATTCATTTAACCCAAATATTACATTTACAAAAGTAATTAATGTTAAGCTCAAAAAAATGTCAAAGAAACAAAACTGAACTCGGGCAAAGAACTGCAAACTTAACAAACCAAATGACTGCACAAAGAAATATAACTGACCTAAACATGAACTGACACAGAAGGGTATATATAAAGTCTGATCAGACCACTATGACACACGAGGAGTAACTAAACAAAACACAATTGTAAACAACAAACATGGCAGTACAGTCTGGTTTGTCTTTATCCTGTTTTCCTTCTCTCACCCCAACCGGTCGCAGCAGATGGCCCCGCCCCTCCCTGAGCCTGGTTCTGCCGGAGGGTTCTTCCTGTTAAAAGGGAGTTTTTCCTTCCCACTGTCGCCAAAGTGCTTGCTCATAGGGGGTCATATGATTGTTGGGCTTTTCTCTGTATCTACTGTACAATATAAAGCGCCTTGAGGCAACTTTTGTTGTGATTTGGCGCTATATAGATAAAAATTGAATTGAATTGGTTCTTTAGTAGGTCTAGAGGGGTTAAACTGCGTCCTCACATCTGCTTCATGAATATGAAGGGCTGTAGTGGGAGAAGGTGGTTTGAAATCCTCATAGGTGTGAAGTGAGGAGGGGGCTCCTGTGGGTGAAGTCTTTGATAGTGTAGATGGCTCTGTTGTGGGGGGAGCGGGGAAGGTGGGGGGATGATGGACCAAAGTGTATCTATTGTTGGGGAAGTCTCTATTGAGGTGTGAAAGCTGCTTGATGGATCATCAAACCGACAGTAAAAGTCGTTGTGGGTGTTGGCCAACAGCAAGTCGTCAGTGGGGTGGGGCTGTGTGCTTCCTGAAGTGAAAATCTGGCATTTAAACATAAATAGGAAAAACTCGCTCACAGCTGACTAATGAACATTTGCATGTATGCTTAAGAACTGCATTGACCCCATTTCACCCAAGTAGGGAT